AAGCACGAGCGGTTGGAGATGAGTGCTGAAGACTGCTGCCAGCAGTAAGCTGAATCCTGGTTGGCCAGCGATGAGTTTTGGGCACTGGGCCAAGCGGCAAGATGTGAGCCGATCTCCCACGGCGGGCTTGGCTTTTGATTGCTTGGTGATTTTAGCGGGCTTTGCTTTTGATTGCTTGGCGATTTTAGCTGGACTCTAGCTTTCTTAAAAGCTGAGACGTCCGAACTTATTGCAAGGAGTGCTTTGTGAGGATGGAGCAAAATGAGACGCACAGTGGGGGGGGGGGACCGTGTTTAAAATGCAGTCGCAAACCCAGATCCTCAACCTCCAAAACCACAACTAACATTAAAACCCTTACAGTCGCAACCCCGGACCCGGAACCTCAAAACCCCTAAAACCAAACATAAAACGGTCGTGAAACAGGCAAGCCCTTATTTATGCCAAACAGAAAACGAAGCCCAAAGTCATTAAGTCCTTTCAGCTGCACAGTTTGAGTTCTTGCAATGGACAGATAGGCATGCCAATGAGTTGTCAGTGTCGTATCCAGACAATGTTTGCGAGGACTCTGCTGTGGCTTCCACCCCGCGGGCCAAGCAGCCACGCATCGCTGGGACCGATGTTGGCTATCCAGATGTAACGCGGGTCACAAGCCCGACAAGTGTGCTTGATCAGTATCGTTGGCCCAAAAGGCCGGGCATCTTTAGCTAATGTTGCATCATCATGTCAGATTCAGCCATGCCAGCCCGAAGTGTTGCAACCAGGTTCTTGCAAGCTTCCGTGCAAGCTTGGGGCAAGGATTATGTAGTGGATGGCCTTTCAATGATGAGCTGGAAGCTCTCAACCACGTTTTCGGGCATGGGATGCTTCGAGAGTGCTGCTGTAGCTGAGCCTTGTCGTGTATTGTGCTGGAGATCAGTCTGTATTGTCGTGTGAGGGACAAGCCTTCTGCAACTTAGGTTCGTGAGAACGTGCGGGTTTTCCTGCGCCAGAACAATCGCCGTGAGTCGGCTTGCATTGAGCTTCGTTCAGCTCTGGACTTCGACACGAAGGCGCAGCAAGTGCTGCACGCAACGTTTCCTGGGAGATGTGTGTCACTAATTTGCATTATGCTGGTTGGCCTCAATGTGTGTCCCACACCTTTGGGTATGTTGCTTTTGGGGCTTGGCCCGGTTTCGAGGTTTGGGTTTCGAGGTAGTTTCTGAAATTTGCGGGTTTGGGGGGCTTGAGGTTTTGGTTTTTGCGGGTTTAAGAAATTTGCCGGGTTAGGGTTTGTGGTTAGTTTGTGTTTTGTGGTTTGGGGGTTTGTGAAACTTGGGGGCTTGGGCGTTTTTGGTAATTTCGGGGGTTGGAAGTTTTGGTGTTTGCGGTTTTAAGAAATTTGGGGGTTGGGTTTGGTGGTGTGTTTTTAAGGGTTTGGGGGAGTTTGTGAAAATTGGGGGTTTGGGGTTTGGGGCTTTGGGGGGGCTGTGTTTTGGTAGCTTGGGGTTTGGGGTTGGGTTTTTGTTGGTGAAATTTGGTGGTTCGTGGGTTTGGGATTGGGTTTGAGACTTTGGGCTTTCGGGGGTTTGGGAGTTTGGGGCTTGGGGGGTTTATTGCTCGGAAGAGAAGCAGCGGAAGCTTTGGATTTGGTGCTATGATCACGGAAGTCGAAGGGATTGGGTTTAGGATCCAAGGGGTTTTCAATTCTCACCATCCATTCATCCATCGGCACCCTAAGCAGGAGTGAGAGCGCCTGTTCGCCGTGGGTTAGAGGGGAGGGTTTGTCAAACTTTGGTGCAGTGGGCATTGCAACCTCAGCAGTCCTGGGTCCTGCTATGTGGTCTTGGCAAGTTGACTTTAGCAGCAGTCCTGTTGTGTGGTGTTGGCAAGTTGACTTTAGCAGCAGTCCTGTTGTGTGGTGTTGGCAAATTGGCTTTACCAGGCCTGTCATGTGTGGTGCTGGCAAGGTGGCTTTAACAGTCATGTTGTGCGGCTTTGGCAATATAACTTCATCAGTCCTGTTCTGTGGTGTTGGTAATGTGACCTTGCCTTAATATTCCTGTTTGGTGGTGTTGGCAGTAACAGCCCTGGATCAGGGCTCACGCCAGAGCTTTTTCAATGTTCTTCGGATCGAGGTGTTACCTTCCGAAGGTAATTTGTGCTGAGGTGAATGGATGTAGAAGACTGAGGACTGAGAATGCCGCATTCACCTGTGTAGTGGTGCTGGCAACATGACACTATCAAGGTATTAAAGTCCACCGGCATCTGGCCATGCATGTGTTGCCGTACAATCTGCCATAAGACCACGTGAAGACGAAATTGGACAATCGATTGGAGCAGCTTTTTTGTACGTCTTGTGCAACCATTACATAATTCATTCGCACAGCACTGCCAGCCACCACCCAAGCTAACTCCCAGGTTGGTTGCATGCCGACACGGAAGCTGTGCATGCCATATGCCATTGGTCGTGTAACTAGGGGTCTTGCTGGCAGCACTCATGCTACACAGCGGCTGGTTTAAACCAGAAGCACAATCTGCCGGTCACGGTTTTGCCTTGACGTTGGTGCGGTGCATGTCTCGTGGTGAGCTTCCAGGGATGCAAAGGGTTTGTTTGCGGTTAGCCTTCCCGTGCTTGGAAGTCCTTCAGTGTTATTTTTTCAAATCGTGTTGCATGTTTGCTTGCTGGGGTGCCTTCGTGGTTGTTGTTGGTTTATGGTTGTTCTCTGCCAACCCCGGTCGCAACCTGCATCTCAGGTTTGGAGATCTGATGAAGGTGGACTTGGATTTGCAGCCTGGGCAACAACCTCATGGCTGGTGCCGAACACATAAGTCCTGGTGTGGCTTGGGTGTGGAGCCAGCAAGAGCTGGCTCCATGCAGGTTTCAGTTGAAGCTGCTGGCCCCACGTGCTGCCCTTTCTCTGTTGCCGGTCTGCAGAAGAAGGTGCCACCAGGGGTTTTGGGTCGTGACCATTATCATTGCTTGAAGGCAGTCGTGCTTGCTCAGTTGAAACTAAACCCTTGGATTTGTTGGCAACAGGAAAACGATGAAAGATATTCGACTCACAAAGCTTGGATGAAACACCGGCGGCTGAACCAGGAGGATCCACCCCCCCTCCCGCTAGTGCTGTGTATGACCTTGTACCCTGTTGTTCATGTCTGCGGCTGCTTGCAGGACATCGTGTTCTTCGAGAACACGCCTGGGTACGAGGAGCGGCTTCTGGAAGCAGAACTAGGCTGGCACCACTGGTTGGCAGCAGTAGGAGAAGCACGGTTGTGTGGAGTAATTGCTAAAGAACCGTAGAATCAGCAGTGGAAGGCGATATCTATGAAATCAAGCATGTCCGATTTGATCCGCGCCACTTGGGCTTGGCATGCTCTCGGCCTCGATTTTGGGCCATTCTTGTGAACCGCTCTACAATGAGATGGAAATCTGAAAAATCCCTGGCTTCCCTGCTTCAGACTTTCTTCTGTTTGCCCAAGATGAAGGCCCACAGGAACATGTGCAACCGTGTGTGTCAATAGCGGTTGTGTCTGTGCTGTGTTTGTATCGATGCTTGGTTCTGCAGGCAGTGGATTTCTTTTGGGACAAAGCAAATGGATGTCCTGGTCTTTCCATGGCAGACAAGGAAACCATCCGGGGGTACCGCCGAACTTTCGGACAATGCAAGAAGGCGGAACTAGACTCGTGTTTAGTTTCGTGTTGAGTATTCACGTTGATTGCTGGATCTTTGGTCCACAGGTCTTCGACCTTTCCCAGAGAAACCCCGCCTACTTTCGGACGGAGCTTGTGGATGACAGTATGCTGGCCCTCAAGACCAACACCAAGTTGTATTGTGATGATGAGAAACACAAGCGGGTCATGTCCGCGGAAGAGATTTGTGCCTGCCTGGTGCTGCCCTGCAACAAGAACTTTGTTCCTCGTCATAACTAAAGCCAAACTTTGAACCACATGCACCCTGAATCTGCTGAGGCTCGAATTTCCAAAGGCCCCCCCTTCGCGGTGGACTCCGTGAACTACAATGCGATTGCTCATTTGGTGGGCAACGGAATGAATGTCGCATGTGCCGGTGCTTTGGTCCTGATTGCAGCAATACATGTACAGAAAATCAGAAGCCAGACATGAGCTGGAGATGGGTGAGTTTCTGCTCGTGTTGTGATACCAAGAAAGTAGCAATCTAAAACACTTGGCAGTTTCGTGTTCTGGCTTATAGAACGAGACAACGGCTGGGAATCTGCCGGCTGTGGCAAAGCAGACAAGCGAGGACCGGTCGTGACTCTTTCAGTTCTGCAGCTCCGGAAAGACAGTTGGCAGTTCATGTGTTGGCATGTCGATAGATCACGAGTGATTTCGTGGCACCTTGCTGCTGAGGTTATGCTGCTACCGTGTAGTGGTGCCCTCATGGTGTCTCTAAAAGAATTCTGGCTGCTTCCTATCCTGTCCAGTGGTGTGGTATGCCTGTGTAGTGGTGCACTGGTGCTGCCTCTCGGGCTGGTAGTTACCTGTTCCTGTGTAGTGGTGCTCAGGTCTGCCTCGAATAATAAAGCGGCCGGCTGATTCCTGATCCTGTCCAGTGCTGTGGTATGCCTGTGTAGTGGTCCTGTGCAGTGGTGTGGTATGCCTGTGTAGTGGTCCAGCCCAGTGGTGCGGCATGCCTGTTTAGTGGTTGGCTTAGTGACCTAGTGCTCCTGTCTGGTGGTGTTGGTGTATCTGTATAGTGGTGCCCGGCTGGGGTTTCCATGACGTGTGTAGTGGTGCTGTTCCACGACGGAAGATGATGTTGCAGAGGTATAACTTTACTTGCAAAAAAATCTAGGCTCGGAGATTGAAGCTTCAGCGCCGGCAAGGCCGGTGAGACATTTGCCCAATGGGCAAGCGTGGCGGCGGTGCCTTTGCCAAAGGGGCATCCAAGTGTCTGAAGGTTGCAGAGGATGTGCATGAGGGTGCACGACCCTGGGTGGACCGTATGAAGAAGTCTTTGGAGACGGGGTCTCAGTCCGTGTTGCAGACCACAGCAAGTCTAGGTCTAAGTATCCACATGTGGTGCATGTAGTTAACAGTTTTGATTGAGGACCTTTAATGTGGATGCCGACGAACACCCGTGCCAACTGGTCGAGAAATACATGGCTACGACGGACGAATCCTTTGGCCTCCTCCTCAACAACATGAACGCCTGGCTGGTGGGTAATGGTGTCGAGGCAACAGATGTGACCGGGTTGCAACAATGTAGGGTTTTACTTGGTGCAGCTTCTGCCGTGAGTGATTTAAGGCTCTCAACCTCGAGAACTTCAAGTTTCCGAAGGAAGACGGGCCCGACTCGTTGCCAGTGCTTGCCTTTAACATGGTCAAGCCAACCGAGGGCTTCCCCCCTCTCGTGCAGTTTCAGAGGTGGTGCGAGTCGATTTGGTTTTCCTTCGAGAAGAGCAGGGAGCCGCTGGAAGTGCACCCACTGGATGTGCTTCCGGGGGAAAGGCTTCAGCAGGGTGGGGTGGGACTCACCAAGGGCTTCACGAGGTCTTCTGTGATTCTGTATGGCATCATCAGAACTGTTATGATCGAAGACCCTGAGTCCTTTTCTGACACGGAGAAGGAATTCTTTACTACGTGCCTTGTCTGTTACACTACTTATTATAGTCTCATGATTCGAGAGTCGTCTGAGTCAGAGTGATTCAGTGCATCTCTAGGAAGCCAGTCATAAAGCACCGGTAATTCGAGTCACAACGCAACTGTTGCGAATTTATTGGCCCTGCCGCTGGCAGGGCCGATAAAATCCTCAGCACCACCACCGACACCAGAATTCCATAGTCTTATTGCACATATAGTGTGTAGTGACTCAGTTTTTTGGTTATGCTGCTCGACCCATATGATTTACAGGCCCTGCCGCTGGCAGGGCCGATAAACCGACTCTCATTGCACTTGCATCAAGTTTCTCTGTGCTTTAAGACCCAGAACCACCGATAAAAGTGTCAACGCGCCACTTATTGTATCATCAGTCAGCAGCAGCAGCAGCAGTACACCGCCAACGCCACCGCCACCCACCGCGACCACCACCACTGGCACCAGCACCACCAGCAGCAGCAGCACCACCACCACCACCACCACCAGCACAACCACAACCACCACCACCAACCCATCGCCATCACCCCACGACCCGCCACCACCACTACCCCGCCACCCCCGACCGGAACACATCTTCTGAAACCCCCTTGGTCCCTCACCTCCCCTAAGCCCGGATCCTTAATCATTTCCCAGTTGAACACCTGATTATCGTGGGTGATTATGACCCCAAGCAGTGGTGAAACCAAGCCTGCGGTCCCACTGAAAGTGACATCGTGTCTATATATGTAGCACACTAGGCTTGGCTGCCTGACTTTGCACTGGATTTCCGGGCCCGAGCTATAGCTGAGCTTCCCTCATGAAACAATACTTAGCCAAAGCTGGCATTCCGCCTTCCGTCATAATCCCTGCGGCATTTACAACTCAGGTGGCTTACGAACGTCTTGGTCCTCCCGGTGATCTATACGGCCCGAAGCCATCATGAACATTCCTTCCGTGCTCTCCAGCTGGCACATCAGGCAAGTCTCCGGGAGAAGAAAAATCTCCTACAGACCGCTCTTCGATTTCAGGAACGTGCCGAATCCCTGATGACGGTTGATTGCCCGCAAATCATATGGAGTTCCGTGTTGTGCTGCCTCGAAATCTTTTTCGACCGAGCCGCTTTGTCACTGCTTTTCAATCCGAGGACCACCCTGGCTTCAATCTTGACACAGCATTGAACACTGCCTTCGAGGAATACAACAACTTCGGGCTCGCCCGGCAGAGTACACAGTTCAGACTGTCAGAGCGGGAGATGTATGGTATCAAGGCACTCAAGCCCCAAACTTCCCTAAGCCTACCTAAGCCCTAAACCCGAAAACCCGAGCGCAAAGTAAAGCCCACACCCAAATTTCCAAAAAGCCTTGTCTAAAATATTACTTATCCCAGAATAGTAGTATTAAACCCACGACAACCCTTCCAAGCAAATCAGGCTTTGCTATCCGGTGTATGTGCTGAAGTTCAGCAACTGATGGCACGGCATCTTCAGCT